AGAGAGAGAGAGAGAGAGAGAGAGAGAGAGAGAGAGAGAGAGAGAGATCAGTAGCTCTTTGATATGTCTTCCTAATAAGTTTTTTCTAGTTTCAAAGCTTTTTGATAGTCTTCCCTCTGACATCCTAAACTTCACCTACAGAGGGGGCACCTTATTCTAAGTTAAAACTCCCACTAAATACTCTATCACATAATCAAAGCTGAGTCAAGTGCTTCCAGGAAGAGGAAAGCAATTTCCTCTGAAAAGAAGAGGAAGATGAGGTACTCTCAGCCTGCACTGGAGAGAACACAGTCACATGACTATGTCAAGCTGCAAGGGATGCTGGGGAATGTAGTCTCTAGTTGGCAGTCTTGAGCCTAGGAGAAACTATTCCAAGAGAGAAAGCAAGAAAAGATTGTGGTTCCTCATTAGGGTATGTGTTTTAAGAGCTCTGCCGAAATTCCTTCTCACTTCCCTCCCACCTTGACCAGAGGTGTTTTTATGTTTTGAAAGTTCCATTAAAGCTCAGCGAGACAACACACAAGGAGAGGGATCTTTCTTTGCCCAATCCTTGAAAGACGCAATTGCCCCATTCTTCACAGGGCAAGGCCAATCCTGTCATTAACTTCCTTGGAACACTGATTGATTCATAGTTGCCCTGGGTCTCAAACATGTTAGTTAGCCCCAGGAGCTGCATATACTAGCATGTGTTGAAAATGATCCCACTGATGAATGATGAGACATGAAGACACCATCCACTCTAGTACACATGTAACGCAGCTCCTACATGGTCTAGATACTTCTATGTTAAGCCAGGAGGGAACTTTGTCAAGGTTATCAAATTGGGCCTATTGTGATCAGGGCTTTGTGTTTGATGCTTGGTATACATTTTCTTTCATCTCTGAGCATGTGTTTCTAAACAGTTCGTGGGATCACCTGCCAAATAAAAAACTACTTTACCAATTCCTTGTATTTGACTTTACTCAGGAAGGAAACGAAACTTTGACAGTCAGCTTAGATTAATCACCTGTGTCATATATGGGTGTCCAATCTTACAGAGCATTAGGACTCTGTTGCAGGGGATGATAATAAAATAGACAAGTGACAGTTGCTACTCAAATAGCTTTTAGCCACTTCTGTCTTTCCATATCAGACTGATAAGGCTCCAGTGGTTCCCATGCTCTTGAATACATCTTTTCTACATTGAACAACTCTCAATCCAGAGAGCAGGCTCTGAAGGGTCACAGTACTCCCTGCCACATGAAATCACCTGCCCTGTAGCCCTGTGTCCTGTGACCAGACCAGGTGGGCCACTCATCTATTCAAGTCTGGACTGGGCAAGGGTGAGCAACCAGGTCCCTGTCACTTAGCTCCTGGGGGAAGTCTTCTCCTCACTACTGTGTTCTTTTGTAATCATCTGTTTTCCATGCTTCCTTTGAAAGGTTTCCTGTAAGCCCACCTAGGGACTTTGCTTGATTTATAAATTCTTCCCCATTGATGCGGGCTCATAGACACAGTTGGGTCAGTAAAGAAGACTTTGTGTGTTTCAGTAGGGTCAGGGTCATGGTTTGTATTCAGGCTGAGTTGCAGCCTCCATCCTTCTCAGTGGGCCAAGGCACTGTTGTGCAGGGCTCAAGCTGCACAATCGCACACAGCAGCCCAGTGGGGACCATGTCTTCTTCTCTTGCTTCAGTTGCTGCATGGTGCCTGCCCATGATCTTGAGCAATTTACTTAACCACCTTGAATCTTATTTCCTCATTTGTAAACCACTGTTTTGTTTTTTGATACCAGGGATTGAACTCAGAGGCACGTGACCACTGAGCCACATCCCCAGCCCTATTTTGTATTTTATTTAGAGACAGAGTCTCATTGAGTTGCTTAGCACCTCACCATTGCTGAGGCTGGCTTTGAACTCACGAGTCTTCTGAGCTGCTGGGATTACAGGCATGAGCCACCATGCCTGGCTTAAACCACTGTTTTAACAAGATGGTACCCAGTGGGATTTTTCTTTTTCTTATTCTTTTCTTGTTTAAGACTCAAATGGACAGAGAACCATGTAGAGCAAGGGCTTTGTGGTCAGATTACCCTAAGTCCAATTCTGGCTCTTCATTTACTAAGGGGTATGGCTTTGAATGGTTACTAAGTTCTCTAAGCCTCAGTTTCCTGAACAAGGGATAGTAGTAATGCTTACTTCTTGATGCTATTCGGAAGATTAAGGAAGATAATGCATCTGAAAAATGTAACTGAGAATCTGGCACATTTCCATCATTCCATCAAGTTTAGCTATTATTACATTTACCTTTAATGTACAGCCCTCATGTCATCACCAGAGAAGCAGAGTTGAACAATGGAGATGAAAAACAGAACATTAATACCATTGTTCTAATCCTGGATCTAGCCATACCTGAAGCTACCACTGCACCTGGATTTCCCAGCTAGTAGGTGTTATTATTTCTTTATTCGACTGAAGCTATTTTGAGTTAGGTTTCTCTCCTTTGCAATGGAAAGGACTGCTTTAAGTTATATACTTAGATGTAACTGCAAAGTAGTATGACTAAATGTCTGATAAATTGTAGTAAGAATACTAGACAGTATAATAGTAAGAATAGTAGACAACATTTATTAAAGCTTACAAAATAACAGGCACTGTCTTAAGTGCTTTGCATGTATCAACTTGTTTATGCCTTACAACTATTTGAGGTAGGTATGTTACTTATTTTACAGATGAGGAAACTGATTTACGTAAGGATTTTTTGGCTTGAGACTTCAAAATCAGAATTCAAATTTATACATTCAAGGGAGCAATGAATCACCCCCAAAGCTTCCCTTATAATGCTTTTCAAATGATACTAACATTGTCTAAACATTTTTGAATAATATATTAAATGAATTCTTATCAGAGCCAGTTTATTTCAGAAAAGAAACATCACCATGCATAATCACGCTTTGCATTTAGCTGGAAGGGCATTCCTGTTCTTGTTTGATTACTTTATTTACCACGGGTGGCCCTTGCTGATATTCAGCTGTTCACACAGATTAATATGCCCTTCGAGGACAAAGGTATGTGAACACTGAGGAAGTATGTAAAGTAGGTTCTGAAGGTGATTTGAAAAGGTGAACTTCAAATCTGAGTCATGCAGGAATGCTTCAGAAGGGGACATTGGATACATAAATTACAGCATGCTGTTTTCTCTAAATCACCCTGTGCTCATATTTTATCACTATTTTTTCTTTTAAAATACATATCTCCAAAAAGTAAGGTATGGTGGCACTTATATTAGGAATCTGGTAGCTCCAGTTGGTGTCTGAAGGGAGACCAGCTCTCAAGTAAGCCTGAGGAAGGCCCATTTAGATGACTCTGGCAACACAGGTCAAGATAGTGAAAGAAACCATCCATTGATGTGGTCTACACTTGAGTGAACGTTTTCAGGAAGTGAAACCCTCAGAAATTGTCACAAGAATGACTTCAACCTTCAGCACTCCTGGAGACACATTTGAAAGAGGCATTTTCTGCCAATGGAGAGATTATGACTAGAGCTGTTTCCCCAGATTTTATGGGAATCATTTAAAACATTCAGAAAGTTGAAAGAGGAGTACACGTGTGTCTGCCACCTTTAATCAAAAACTATTAGCATTTTGATAATATTTTGCTTTACTAGTATGGGTCTGTGCACATGTGTTGTTTTGGCTAAAGCATTTGAAAATGAGTTTCAGACATTGAGATATTTCACCGCTAAATAATTCAGTGAAATATAAGAATATACTCCAAGGTAGCATGAGACTGATATCATACCTGAGATAAAAACAATTTCCTAATATCATCTAATATCCAGTCCATATTCAAATTCCCCCAATATCTTAAAGCATCTTTTGTAGGCATTTCTTTTTCCTCCCTATTTAAAGACAACAACAACAACACCAACAACACATAAAACAAAAAACAAGGGCTGGGGATGTAGCTCAGGGTAGAGATCTTGCCTAACATGCTCGAGACCTGGGTTTAATCTTCTGCACCACACGCACGCACACATCAGAATCAATGAAGGCATTATGCTTGTTTATATTTCTTTATTATTTTATGCTAAAATAATTGTATACTTTAAAAATATATCCCTTTGAATAGACGGGCCAGCTGTCTGTAGGATGTTCTATATTCTGAATTTACCTGCTTGTTTTCTCATGGTGCCATTCACCTTGCTTTTGCCTGGGGATTTCCTGTCCTCAGAAGTTAAGTCTAGAGGTTTGACAAGGTGTAGGTTAAACTTATTTGGCATGGATACTTCATAGATGACCCTGTATCCTTCATATTGCACTCCATTTGAAGTCACATGATGTCAGGCTGTCCTACTGTGACTGACGCTGAATGTGACAGTTGAAAAAAGAGTAAATGTGTGTCTACTACCTTTCTTTTTTTGTGGTGCTGGGGCTTGAACCCAGGTCCTTGTGCATGTGAGGCAAGCACTCTACCAACTGAGCTCTAACCCCAGCCCTGTCTATCACTTTTATTTGACATTTTGACAATATTTTGCTTTGCTCATATGGGTACGTGTGCATGTATTCTTATTCTGCTGAAACATTTGAAAATAAGTTTCAGACATTGCAATATATCACTAGGTTAAGGTGGCAACTGCCAGAACTGTCCCCTGAAATGCTATTCCTGTCCCCTCTCCTTGCATAGAAACCTAAGGGGAGATAATGTCACATCACATAGGGGCCTTGTCCTCAGCAGTCTTTCACTAGATGGTTTAGTCCTTAAGGACAACGACTCTAACCAACTCACAAGCTTAAGACCAGCTCAAGATGTCCTCATAGCACTCTTTCTAAGATACCTTCAGCAAAGTTTTTGGTTTGTTTTGTTCGTTTTTTTTTTTTTTTTTTTGGTCTTTAATTTCTTATGCAT